TACGTCGTGTATTTGGGGGAAATTTGTCGACAATTATACGTAACGTACAGTATTTGAATGAACCGCATCCAGAACTGAAGTTTTCATAAACTTCGACAAATCAGACACCGCTTAATAAAAAAAACAAAAGTATTGTCATAAAAACAAGGTACAAAATACAGAACCAGGCATTCGTTTGATACGCATATATACTGACTTCGTTTATTGTTTAGCTAAAGTGTTCCAACATGCTTTGGAGCCATCACAAAAAACTTACATGATGCAGGTGAGCGACGTGCTCTCAGATTTTCATGTTCATTGTAACTGATTACCTTGTTAGTCCAAATCATATGACTTCCTTTCGTTTAGTGAGTTTGTTAATGAAAACACCATAAAAGGTAACTGAGTTCAACAGTGTTGTTCACTAAATTGATAGAAGTAAAGAGAGAAATCAGTTGTAATGACAGTACTTCAACTGTTACACCATCTACTAGCGACATAAATCAAAGGCTTTCAGATAATAGTGGTATGTACATTAAATTCATACATGAATATAATTCTGATAAGATGTTCGTTATTTTTAAGAATAGTAAAATAACTTCAATTAAGCCTGATAATGTAGTGGTAGTTAACGGACAGCCTGGTTTAGTCACTGATATAAAGGAGGGTGGACTAATGAAATATAGGTCTTTCATTGACCCACGCAATTACTTCGAAGATCCTTTCCCATCTAGTGATTTAGGAATCTTTATGTGCTCCATAGTTAGCTATGAACACACATGGGTATAGGTTAAGGACATAGATTGTTAATGTATGGCCATCAATTGTAGGAATTATCTAGTTCTAATCCCATTGTTGCATACTTTATTGTAAATGCATGAAAAGCCATTTAATTACGTCTTATATTATTTTTAGCCTGCTAACACGCAATAAGTCATTGTTGATGTCCCTATCAAGAAACAACTCATGATTGCAGCCAAGAAGTGGATTGTTAGCCAAGACCTGTGTCTTTGTCCAACGGGCCTGGTCGATATACACCTGCAGAAGTGTGACCAACCTAATGAAAATTGGTCATTTATGAAATTTAAAGTTATTCATGAATTAGGTAAGTTACATACACAGAAAGTATAATTCACCATAGATTCTCTGCAGTCTGCCAAAGATCTGTTAGTTGCCCTACAGATACTGGAATCTCAACGCAAAAACACCTCAACGGATGAAAACACTTTGCCACAGAACACTGAGAAGCCAAAGAGGTTTGTACAATAATCTTACTTACATTTCCTAGAGGTGTAATGAAGCGTAAAGAAGATTTTCTTCACAATTCAGTCGACATGGATGTGGCTGAGATGCAGGCTGGGAATAGCCGCGTACAATATTCCAAATTCCGTGTTTTCGACAAATTCATATCGTCAGTCACCAAGTAGGCTTAATTACTATTTACATATTCACGAATTAGTTCGACACAATTAGAGACATCACCATCCACATCGGAATCTAAGCATGTTGGTGGCGCTATAGCGGACCAGTAAGTAACCTACATCATCTAGTGACCTTTTTCAGCTGTGATAGGTTGTATACAGGGGTGCTGAACATGTCGCCAGCTATCATTAATTTGACTAAAACATATCGTCCGCCATTACTGACTTAAATGTTAATGTAAACCAATTACTATTTAAGTCTAAAAAACGTGAAAAACCGCATCAATTCAATTGCGGACTGTCGAGTCAGCAGTTCCCTTTGTCATCTGAAGAGGAACTGAGGATGGTGGATACTGGTTTGTCGCAGAAAGAAACAGGGGACAGATTCGTAAGTCATTAATATGAATTTAATAATTCGTTACTATTACAGATGGCAATGGTTATTAAGTTATCAAGTGACGATCCAAAAACATCGATGCTGTTTGTTCTATTGCATCTCTTGACACCTGAGGTTGCCAGTAAATTCACGTTACTTGGCACCTCTTCAAAAAGAGCACTTCAGAAATGCAAGTTTTACGGCTGCATACGAAGTAACCTATATCTATTATTTAAACTTCAGGTGCCTTAACTAATCGCTCTCTGTCATCCTCTGTCAACGAAAAAGACCTTGGTAAGCTGCATGACATCGCGACACAAGGTTACTTTCATGATATCCGAGACAAAATGATAAAGCGTAATAGAAGAAAACAAGATCAGGTATATACTAATTTAAAGTGATAACCTCCCTACGGCTATATAGTTACAGTCAACAATATTAACAAACAGAACCGTAAGTTCAGATTCAAGTATTTGGCTGTGCCAAAGCATGTCATTGAGATGTGGTTGTGAATTTTTTTTCTTTTTATAAATTCAGAATTCGCAGGACGACTACCTCAATTCTCAATAGCCGAACGAACATGGCTTAGGAGAATAGTCCGTGCAATTATTTTGATGTTCTATCTACATTTCAATAAACATTATTTTGTCAAACAGCTTACTCTTTGACTTACATGGGGAACTGTCGAAGTGTTGAGAATGTGTGTTTGAGTGTCAGTTAACTTTTGATTAAATGCACATTCCTTATAAATAAAACATCATCTGTTCCTCCTTTCGCAGATAATTTCAAATAAAAATGAATTAGCAATTGCATTGGATATGCAAAACAATCGATGCTTAAGCTTATGCTCTGGTGTAGTACAATAATACGCTTTTCCTTTTAAATAATTTTTTTCAAAAAATACCGCTTTTCCACTGCATTGCAGATATATTTTAGTCTGTTGTTGAAAATAAAGGCGAACATAGGAGACCTTTGGGGTTCTGTCAATGGGTGGAAAATAGGGGATTATGTGTGTAATTAGGCGAAAATTAGACAATTAAGCGTATAAGTAGGCAATTCGGCGGATATTTAAGCGAAAATTCAACAAATATGCGGATATTTAGGCGAAAATTCGACAGTTCAGCAGATATTTAGGCGGAAAGTTGGCAATTCGGGGGATATTTAGGTGATAAGTCGGTAATTTGTCGACAAAACGGCGAGAAAGAAGAAAATCCGCATTATTTCTCCAGGACAGGCGAAAAAGGTGACATTCTGAGGCATTTTCCCCTTTATTTCTCCTTTCTTCGCCTTTATTTCACCTTTTTTGGTTGTCTGGATCCTGTAATGGTGATCATAGTCAACCGCGACTCAACGCCGCAATACAGACCCATCACAATTCACAGCAAATCAGGTCAGTTACAAGGTCATCCACAGCAGCTTAAACAGTAAACCTTTCATATCCGAAACGTGTCAACCCAGTGAGACCAGGATTAAGAAGCGAAGAGGTTTTAAGATCCATTGGATGGAATATAGATATGTTCAAAAAGGTCCAATCTATGCTGGATAGCTGTTGTGGGAGATGTGGGGCACGGTGTACTCATACGTGATCTGGTGCGGATGGGTGACTGAGAGTTTTCAACTAATTGAATCCATAAAAACGAATACTGTCAGCATCAAATGTTGGAAACTCACAGAGCTATTGACTTTGAGGATTTATTTGCCTCTACAATCAACTTGATCAAACTGTTCGCTAAGCATCATTAACTTTCGGAAAACCACTGACACAATAAAACTAAAGTAACAGCTCATAGTAACACTAAATGTCTGTGGGTCTCAAATGCTCGCGCGATAGCCACGATAGACAACAACTTATCAAGCAAATAATGTTCGGTTATACAGTTCAAGCTCATGAGTCACCAATACAATAATATTGAGTAACTAGAATAATTCTAGGTCTTCTTGAGTCACCAACAATATCCTACCATGAAACATGATGAATTAAACGAAATAATTCAAACGGGTTACCAATGTGAGACGCTACACGATACATTTAAAATTTCTAACTAGTTGAAAGTCGAGCATAGAAAGTGTTGTATGATTCTGCAACGATATACGAAGGTATAATGGACATGAAAGAATCAGACAATACTGGTAACCAAGTATCGCCTAACTAAACGATCCCAAAAAAACAATCAAGATGACTGTGAGGAGCATTTGCATGAACAGGTAGGGGAACATGATGCTTCTATTTTTAAAATTGCTTACAGTTGTCATCGCTGTCCTGTAACTTCTATGTTCTGGCCGAACACAGCATCTAAAAGATTTTTATCAAGTGGTTCAACTGAAGGTCTGCAGAAGCATATATAGAATATTTCGTTCTTAGAGTTCATAAGCTGAGCAATATCATCGAATGACGTTTCCAAAGTAATATTCGATGTCCTCTTTCGATATGAAACAACTTTTTATAAGTCCGTCTCGCTGTTCAGCTCAAAGAGTAAACCTCTCCTTTCCTGTTTCATAGGCATTAATTCAGGGAATCTCACCTTTGCATATTCGAAAATCTCCTCCAGCGAAGTATAAACCGACCTCAAAAAACAGTCCATTCGACTTGGGTTTTAAAAAGCGATTCTAAGTTTCGATCACTTTCTGGTTCTTCTATCACTAATGTCTACCTTAAATATTATAAACCTGAAACATGTTCCCCTTAAATAGGCGAAAATCTACATTTGTGGATATCTATGAAGTCGAATTACTGACATATTTCCTTTATACAGTCATTTAAGTCATCCGACTAAATGACATCGTCTTGAAGATGCAACAGGTACTCGAAGTTTGACAACGCTTTAATCAGTAATACATTCTAATATGAATCGTACCCACCAAGTGAAACCAAAAGACAAAAGCGAGGAGGTTCGAAGACATATTTGATAGGCTATCAATATATCGAGGATCGCCTGATCTAATCTGGCTAGCGATTACAGAGGGTGTTGATCACGGTGTTTCCACTCGTGATCTGGTGTAGACGCATGAACGAGCGCCTTCAGCTAGGTGAGTCCATTAAAACTAACGTGGTCAGCATCCAATGTCGAAAATTTACAGAACTATTTATTTGGGGATTTATTTACCGCTAAATGCTGATACACATACTGGTATATGAATAAATTCTGCATAAAAATTTTGGTCCACGCGAAAACTCAATTCGACAATTTGTTTAACTAGGTAGAACACAATAGAACCACCTTCTAGACTTCGAAGCGCGATAACTTCTGTTTCTCCATTCCGCTTGTCGGTTGTTGAGTCATGGCTGTGTCAGTTGTTGGTTTTGATATTGGCTCTTTGACTTCTTACATTGGTGTCGCTAGAGGTGGCGGAGTCGAAGTGATTACAAACGAGTATAGTGAGAGGGCTACACCGTAAGTCTCTTGTGTTGTTGATCTTTTCAGAACATGTGTTGCTTTTTCCGGGGAATTAGTTCTTGTGGGAACAGCTGCCAAGTTACAACAAGTTATGAATATCCAGAATACTTTTACAAGCTTTACTCGGCTGCTCGGAAAGTGTCTGTCAGACTCCTCAGTTGTGAACGAAAGAAAGTTCATGACCCATCAAGTTGAATCAACTCGTGATGGTCGCATCACACTTTCAGTAAGTCTTCTCATTTTGCTATCTCATTTTTTCAAGGCTTTTCTGAAAGGCCAAAAAACTCCTTTTGCCCCTGAGCAAATTTTGGCAATTCAAATGAATAAACTTAAGGATATTGCAGAGACTACTATTGGTTCTAAAGTGGTCGATGTTGTTGTCAATGTTCCTACTTACTTCACAGATGCCGAACGAAGATCTGTATTAGATGCCACAAAAGTGGCAGGATTAAACTGTGTGAAGCTAGTGAATGATATAACTGCAAGTAAGTTCTGCTTGGACTTCTAATCTCGTAAGTTGGTACCGCGTACGGGTTTTACCACACAGACTTACCACCAGCTGATCAACAGCCGAAAATAGTGGCATTTGTCAGTGTTGGTTATAGTACTACGCAAGTTGGTATCTGCAGTTTCAACGCAGGCAAGATGAAAGTCCTTGCAACTACGTGTGATGCTTTTCTTGGTGGTCGGGATTTTGACGAGAGGCTTTTCAACAAATTCGCCAGTGAATTTCAGCAACAGTACAAACTGAAGGTAAGTTTGTGTTAGGTTGTTTCACCTTTTCAGGGTTCACTATCATCAAAAGCGACTATAAGGTTGCTTCAGGAATGTGAAAAGCTCAAGAAGTCAATGAGTGCTAATTCCTCGGAGTTACCAATCAACGTCGAGTCCCTAGCAGAAGATCGAGATTTAGCGAATAAGATGAAGCGCACTGATTTCGAAGAATTGTGCTCGGATCTCTTGGAGCGGTTTCAAATGTTGTTTACAAAATGTCTTGATGTGGCTAAGTTGAAGTCGGGAGATGTACACTCAGTGGAACTTATTGGTGGTTGTTCACGTATACCTATGATAAAGAATGTTGTCGCATCTGTCTTCAAACAAGAAGGCAAAACTAGCTTAAATGCCGACGAAGCTGTAGCTCGTGGATGTGCATTCCAGGTATGTCTTGTTTCAATGTAATTTCAAACAATTTATATAGTTATGATTAATTCATTTAATGACGGTTTCCCAAGTATTCATCGCAAATATATTTGAATTTGTTATTTGCATGTTTTGTAGTTTGTACCTGGGATCACAAAGTTTTAGGAATCCCATAATCTAAAATGTTTTAGAAAATGCAAAAACTGATATGTAACAATATTGTTTGTTAATTCATAACGATTGTGCTGATCTCATCGACTTACTGGTCCTAGATACTTATCTAATTTATTCACGTTTGCTTTCGCTTTCTACTGGCTGGTTTAACTTCTCGAGTTATTCTTAAATTATTAACATCAGTCTTTCCTCACAATCCCAGCTGATTTAGATGATTCGATTGTTCCATCTAAAAGTAGTTTTACTAAACCTGTCTTAGAAATTATCCATAAATTCATTAGCAATTCCCAATCACTGATGCTACACTATCACTTAGTAGCTACTTACGGAAGGAACACCAAAACAAACAAACTTAGCAGGGCTGTTGGCTGTCACGTAAAGTAGTCATCATTCAGAAACAGCTTATTAAAGCGTAGATTGGCAAGATCTTATCCACACCTAGGTTTCACCAACCGCCGTTCAAGCAAGCGGATGAGTTCAAATAATTAACTCAAGCCAAACATGAAGCAAATTGTTTTCTAGTAATTTATTCCAATATCACTATATTCGAGAATACAGTTTGTCAACCTCCATTAAACAAAACTGCATACTCCAAGTCAGCAAATTCCCAGATTAGGAAACTGAGAAATTGGACTAGTTGAAAGTATGTAGTGACTTAATCACCATGTAGTATCGACCATCTTATTTGTACTTTACTTTCTATTGGATATTTAACTAGTTTGATTCTGAGTATTAGTGATGTGACCTGAAACATCAAGCAGTTGAACTCAGTAAAGTGCGTTTGAACTCATTATTTGTTGTCGTAAATAAACAAGAAGTGCTAATACCTCATTTGTTGCATCGAAAACCCCATGAACCACGTATGTATACCAGTGGTGTTCTGTAGCAGACCGTCGTACCTAAATCCACTTTGATAAGAACCTACTATATGAAGTGTATTATTTGGAAATTCTGTATTTTTAATCAGTAAATAAAGGCATTTAACAATCCAAGTAGCCTCTATCTTAGGTGATCAAAACCCAAAGACTTTTGGAAGGTCCTATGCTTTAAACGTGGTTTTAATCTTTACATTACAGGCAGCTATCTGCTCCCCAGCTTTCAAGGTGAAAGACTTCACTGTCGTTGAACAATGTCTGTATCCTATTATAATACAATTTGATCAAGAGGAAGGTAGCGAACAGTGCATGCAAACTGAAGAAATTGATGGTACATTAACGACACAGGGTAAAAATATGTGCATCGAAGTTTTTCCTTTTCTCCATCCTATTCCTTCTTCACGTCAGATTGTTCTTTTACGACATGGTGTTTTTACTTTGGAAGCTCGGTATGCAAATAAAGATAGCTTACCAAACCAAAATATTGTCATTGGGACTTTCAGAATAGGAGACGCTTCTCAAGTATTCACGGAGCCTCGTAAAATCAAGCTTAAAATGCGTATGAATACCCATGGTATTTTCAATATTTCACAAGCACAATTAGTAGAAGAGTATGAAAAGGAAGTTGAAGTTAATGTTTCTGAGGACAATCCTGTAGTTGATGGACCTCCAAACTCCAAACAGGAAGTAACCACAGCTAGCAATGGAGATACTGATAGTCAGAATCCCCCGGTGGACTCCAACCAAACAGAAATGCAAGATTCTACTTCACCGAAAAAGAAGACAGTAATGAAAAAGAAGAAATTCACCAAGTATCATGATTTGAGCATTGAAGTTAGTAATATGCAGTTCACTACAAAACAACTCAATGAGTTCTGTGAAATTGGGGTATGTTACACGTTTTCTCGCGTCTGATTTTGTCGCATATGTATCACTAGGTCTCCCTGAGTAAAACTAGAGAGTTATACGTTACAACAATTCTTGTAAATTATTGGTCTTTTGGTTCTTATATTCGTCTTTTCACGACTCGTTAAATAATTTTTAAGGTCTATTTCACATCTTGCACGGTGTACTTGACAAAAGAATGCGAATGGGTAACCAAATCGACATATTCACTGGGCTTTGACTCACTTTTTGTTATAAGGGCTTATAACTAACCGAGAGCAGGAATGAAAGATTTCAAATGCGCAGTTTATGTGCTTAAACTATGACAATCACTTCGTTTTATTTATTTATTAAACATATAAACATTCGTACAAGGAGGCACCAAGTAGATATGCACCACATAAATCATTCCATTCGTGTGGGCTGCGATACTGCCCGTGTGCCTAAACTGGGGCAGGTGGTTTTCTTAGCGGGCCACACCCCGAACCTTTGACCTAACGGTCTAATCCACAAGATAGTGAAGCGCAACGTCAGGAGATGCAACCGTGGTAGCCGTTGACCAAAAACTGGTTCATACGATGTTTGTTCCTTCAGAATTCTGGAGCCTATGTGCACCATTTGTTCCAAACAATCCTAGGTGGACACTTGGTGTCCGTCAACCAGGTTAAAGCGCTGGACATTCGCATTTCGTCCTTTCAATTTTGTAAACAACACCCCAACCGCGAGAAAGCAGTGGGTTGAACTTCTCTGGCAGTGGCTGTATACGCGTGGCCATGTAAGAGCGAACTCCCCCTACCCCTCCGGCCTTATCAGGGTATTTGGGGGAATGCAAACTCGGAAATAAGTCCTTAAAATATATGTCTAATTACCCTTGGTTTGCTTAAGGATTGTTATTTTTCAGAATTGATTAAATGTACCATTGAATTTCTGTTATTGCATTTAAAAATTTATGTACTTATGAGGGTATTTTCGTTCATGTTTTTCGAACCTACAGTCTGATCTGAGTTTTTGTAGTCATAACATCTATCTTTCATACTAGATTGAGTTTTTCGCTACAAAGAGCTGTCTTAGTTTAAGCTCTATGCATTCAGATAGTATTTTTATGGCTGTATAAACTTGTGGTATGTAAATAATTCTCACCAAATTGGACTTAGTGAATTTGAAATTTTTTAATAGAAACCAATGAAAGATATTAGCACTCAGTCCCACTCCTCATTTTCATGTGTCGACTCATCACCACGGTTTTATTTCCCTATGTTTTTAACATTCTTACTGTGTGTGATTGTGGTTAACCTGATGATTTACGGAATCTGTACTTTAATGGTACCCATTATCCAGCTGACCCCAGATGATAGATTAAGCTTAGCAACAACTGACTATCACTTCATATGCCTCGTTCAGACATGTGAAAAGACCACCAACACTATATAAGGTTAACTTTTACTTCTATAACAGACTAAAATTCTCTTATTGATATTCTAGTGTTGTCTCAATCACTACAAAACTGCTCAAGCTCTGTGAATAGTTCAACCTTGTGACAAAACCAAAAGTTGTGTATCACGATTTCTATCATCCATCAAACTGAAAACAAGTAAAGTTTAGTATTTCCTAAAAAATTTCTTAAAATGGGTTCGCTAAAATGAAAATGGACCCCGGACAAATGTTCGAGTCCTACGGTTAATAGTAATTTGTATACACTGAAAATATACGCCATGTTTGCAAATTTTGCATGACATCTCATTTTTGTTTTTAATAGGCTAATCTCATTCAACAGGACAAACTGGAACGAGAACGAGTCAATTCCAAAAATGCAGTTGAGGAGTATGTTTATGAAATGCGGTCTAAACTTCAAGGACCATTAAATCCGTTCGCTTCATCTGCTGAGTCAGAATCACTACTTCAGTTATTAGATATGACAGAAGAGTGGTTGTATGGTGATGGTGAGAGTTTAAAACGTCACGTTTATGTAGAAAAGCTCGCCGAGTTAAGGAGCAAGGGAGATCCAATTGTCCATCGAGCGAACGAACATCTTAATCGTCCTTTAGCCGTTGACAACTTCAATCGATCGCTTGTGGTGAGTTATCTCATTAGCGTGTATTCGCTACACTGTATTCCATTCACTAAACCTGCTAAGTCTAACATTATATGAGTCTAAACTACAGTACTAGCCATATCTAGTCATCTCAAAAATAATGTTCTGAATTCCATTCTATCTGGTTTAAATGTCTCGGTGGTGCCTTCACCCTCAATGCAGTCTAGTCCTTTGATATCTGTATAAATCACTGACTAACAGTATTTGCCACGTTTGCATAAAATTGTGTGATGACTGAAATCCCACCAAATTTGGTGGCTATGTAAAGTTAGCATTTGCAAGAAAGAGGCGGTTATCTAAGCATAGCTGCCACAGACGGTCGCCATTATCTGTTCTTTGAGCCACGACGCCATAAAATCCACCCAGGTGTCTTTCCTCTTAGTTTACCTACTTGAGCAATAAAGTCACCAGCCATTATTACTGCACCAGAGCGCCCAACCTTTTGGAGGTCAGAAAGCTTTCTGTGAAACACATCTTTTATCTCATCTGAGTTGCAGTCAGTGGGAGAGTAGGTAGAGACGACAAGTGTCTCTATCTTTCCTAGTCCTTACTGTTCCGTCTAGTCGGACAGCGCACAAGCGACTGTCTGCCAGGATCCAGTCTAAGAGAGCCAGTTCTGCCCTTGGACTCAATACAACACCTACACCAGCGAGGCCACGGGAAGCAGCGTCAGGGTTTCCAGGTATACGAAGCGTTTATCAGGATGGTTCTTTATTTTGATACAGTGAGTTCAAATGAATGACGCTACTCGAATCCTGTATGCGCGTTTCGGGGATGCAGCATACATCGATGACCCGAGATTCTAAAGTCCTAGCTAAGGAAGCCTGTTGTCCTATTTGGCACAGTGTTCAGACGTTAAAAGCTCCTACATGTAGTTTAGAGCGTGGTTTCAAGAGACCAGGAATAACGTTCCGCGGACTCGAATCGTTTGCCCTAGCGGTGCGAGGTGATAAAGGAACGTGAGAAGGGTTAGTAGTGGAGATAAGAGAGTTATTAGGAGTTGTAGGAAAGATTTGAATATGACCAACTTGGTCTCGTGTGCTGATATCACTTCCCGGCTGCCCACACCGTGGAAGAGTATTTTTGAGGAACCTGAAAAAAAAAGGTGAATTAATGTTGGTCTTAACGTCCTAGAAGCGTGACCGCAGAGCCCAAGGGACAGCTGCGTGAGACTGGTCGCGCACGGCTTTTTTGTGGGAGGTTTTAAACGTGTTATCTCCGTTCTTCAAAGGGCCTTATCACCGAAGACAGAGATCCGTGAGGTGGGACATTTTAGGGTCGAACTTTTTAAACCCCACCCTTTCTTGTGAGAAGGTAGCATTGCTGAAGATGTTAGTTGTTCGATGGAAACACCTTACTGCTGTCACACCCCTCTACAGTCAACAGTATGACTTCGCCCTCAGACCTTGAGTTGCTTCTTTTAGTCTTACCTTTCTCTAATCTACATACTTGGTATGGTAGAACCTACAGGAACATATGTTCCAGCCAATATAGCTCTGCTGGGTCATCACGATAAACAAGCCCAACCACCACGTAATGTAGCAGCTACGGTCGGGTATATCCCAAGATGGTTGACGACAAATGCCAAATCTATCTTATACGAGTCCGTATTTTGGTCAAAGTAAACGATCAAGATTATCACTGCTGTTGGTGTTTTATCGTTCAATCTCTTTCTGGTGATTTGAGTTTGCCTTCGTCACTTCCGCCAAAATAGCGTGTGCTTTTCCATCTATATTCAAAAGAATCGTTCAGCTAAAAACAGTGACAAATATTATTTGCTTTTTTAACTAATGACACTTGATATCAGTCAGTTTGATTATAAAGGAAGTTAATAGAAGATTGTATATCGAAAACTAATGTTCGAGTTGATAATCACTTTAGAACTTTGTATTGTCCAAACAGGTTTTTAAAATCGTATACGACGAAATAGATTGTAACACAGCAACCTAATTAAAACTCCAGATTCCTAGGACTTTATTTCAACTTGTGATAGTTGTAGGTGCTCAAGTCTATAAAATCACTTTTATAATGTATTTTTATTTAACTGAATTAAATCTAAATTTTTTCATACAAATGATATCATTGGTTCTGTCGATTCAAACAAGTGGCATCAAAAAGATTTTCGAAAACTACTAAGGTAGACCAAGGTAACCATTTTTCTCAGACTAAGCTAAACATTATGGCTAGCTCACTAACCTCCAAAGTACTTGACGGTACATTTTTTGTCTTAATAAAATCCAACGTCTTAATGAAAATCTTATTCCACTCAATATTTGTTTAAAATGTAAGAAATATATTTAATCTTATAACCGTACATAGTTATGAAAATTCTTCCTGGTCTTTACCAAAAACCACACATTGTTTATCTGTTTCCATCATAGTCAACACACTTAAGTGTTAGCAAAAGTATGATATACTTGTAATTGTATAGTATTTGCAATCTGTTTTTTTGGTTGTCTCAGTTGGAAAATTTTCCTATATTTGACTTTCTTTGTTGTACAGCGTATAAGGAAAGTGTTAGACAGTATTGCAGCTGGAGAACCAACTTATGATCACTTAACACAGGCGCAAGTTAATCAGCTGGAAGATACGATAGTACAATATGAGACCTGGTTGAACCAGCAAATGGTGCAACAAAACCCTCGACCACAAACTTCAGATCCTGTAGTTAAAGTTACAGATATCGTATCTCAACAGCAGGTAAGTAGTATGCATTTTCCTAATTTTTCCAGGTTATTCATTTATTTAGACACAAATACTGGTACAAGGAGACACCAAATATTATATATACGCCACAGAAATAATTCGGTTTTTGTGAGGGCTGAAATATTCCATGTCTCGAATAAACGTGTTAATATATTGTAAGGATTCATTGCGGTATCATCTACTAGTTTTGATTCTTTTTCAAAATAGCGTTTCACTATCATTCTGTTGAAATTCACTAAGTCCGTAGTAGACAAAGATCCCTGGATGCATGCAATGTCTTAATTCACTTAAAGTAGAAAACTAGTTTTCCAGGATAAAATTATAAATCAACAGGTTCTAGCAAGCTATTGTTTCGCGAGATGCTCAAATATTCATTATGACGTAGTGGTCAGTTTTTAAGTAATTCAAATGTTTATTCTTTCAATACACCAAACTTTACATTATTAAGGCAAGGAAAAAAATCTAGCAACCTTTAATACCATTTAGGTTTCTTAAGGCCCACTGGAATAGAATTCCAGAGTTCTCACTACTAGTTTATGCTTTCCGATTCAACACATTATTTGAGTGTCGCAATATCCGATATATGGTCTGGATCGCGTCACCTTTGGCGTGGACAAAATATCCGTTTGCTAACCAAAAGGCGAGTTTACTGTGCAAAATTTCTCCCCGTCCTACTTTATATATATTTTGGGACCACCGAATCAGCAGTGCCTGATTACTGGGTAGAGATGGCAAGTCGGCTGTCGAAGTAGTAAATATTTGCCAGCTGATTTATTGGGACATGTGTTACGTATATCCAACCACTACCCACCTCGTCGAGCGACGCCGTCTGGCATAGGAGTAGGCTAGAATAATCTAGGGTTGGCCAACCCCAAAATATGACGTCAGTCCATGGAATCATTGACACAGACTAAGCCATGTTAATAGCTGTAGACTACTTCGTCGGGGTCCACGTGATCATCGTAACCAGCGGTTAGACCTAATCACATGAGTCGAAATCGTTTACAATGACGCAGGTACATCCATTCATTGTTTCTTCCTAGATTCTGGGCTTCTGATTTCCATGAAATTTATTTCACTAATTCATATTTTCTTGGATCGTATCTGTGATACTTAATCTTTTATATTACCACTAACACTTACTTAATCTACAACTCTTAGATTTTTCATAACAATTTCATTTCTCTCTGCGCTAATGGGATATGGCAACTTGAACCGATGTACATACGTACTAGGTTCTACGTTGCGACTGACTGATACGAAGAAAGATGAAGATTCAGACAGAAAGGACTTATTAGCCTAGAGCATGACACAAATGTGCTTTGAAACAAGTCATATTGAATTAACATGAGATAAAAAATAATGAGATAGATCTTCATAATGTATTGGCAACGATAAAAGAAAAGACTAAACCTTATAAATCTGGTTCGAAATGAGTAGTTGATAAACAATAAAAAATCAAGTGTTTCCGCAAATTTATGAGTAATCCATACTTCTAATTTCTTTATCCCGCTGACGAATACCTCTTTATGGAACTGGTTTAGTGTTGATATTTTTTCGACCTTGGGACATGGATTTTGCTCAGTTACTAAGTTCAGGTTTATATTCTTGAACTTATACCATTTTGTGCACCTATCTGATCATTAAAACTAAAGTGAATCGGAGGTTGGACAAGGTACTAATGTTTTAACTGACATTATCCTCCAAAAATGCCCTATTGTCCGTACAACCAATAGCACTGTGTTATACGCTACTTATGTCGTATGTAGCACCAATCGGAAGTGGAAGGGATACGAGCAAAAGATTAAGAAGATTCAATTGAAGAGGTCGGAAAGTAACTTTACTAACAGCAGAATTGAAAGATTGGTTTTCATAGTTTACAAAAGCAGGTAATAGCTACTCACGTAACGTGCTAGCCATTATTCAGAGTGTGTAACATCGTAATTGAATTATAGTTCCACTGTTAACAGAATTACTTTCAATCTTTTTGCCATTTAAACCCAGTTTTTTTCCCATCTTTTAGGCCATGGAATCAGTATGTCATCCAATTATCAATACTCCAAAGCCTCCAACGGCGTCTCATACAAATAATACTCCAGACCTTAACTCTCAAAATTCTGGACAGTCCAACGATGTGAATAATCCAAACACAAATTGTAACCCCGGAACAAATCATTCCAAAAAGGGTGCTGATGATGAACAAAATATGGACTTAGATTGATGGAATATGACTTATTTCTTTGAAATCTTATAATGTTTCATTCAGCATTTTATCCAATTCTTCATTGTTTGACTTTTGTTATGACTTTCTATGTGGGTTCTGTATTATAAAACATTACAGAGTGGCTTTTCATTCATCAGCATGAATATGAATAGTAGGACAAAGAGTCTAGAGACTTTTCTAAACTTTCACTTTAATGCAATGCCTGAAGAGTTTTCGAGCGTTCACCGCTTGAAGTCTCCTGGTGGTCTCAGTGTTCTGTGATGTACGTACGTACGAAGTTCTACGTTGTTACTGACTGACTAACAGTGTTCTCTTTTAGCCAGAGCACTTCATTCGGGACATCTGTCTAGATGTATCTCATTTCCGCTCTCTAATGTGTTGGATATATACGTTTGGTCAATACTGGTTCGTAAAGTAGCTCTGCCACTAACTTCCTTTTATGTCACTCGAGTACTTAGTTCGCTATTTCGTAACGTTCTATAGGTTATATGGTCGTTCACTAGGAATATTCAAACTTATTAGTGGGGAACTATATTTGAATTAATCTCAGCAATTGAAATTTAAATAATTCGAACGTCCAGCAAACCCTGAAGAGGTCTGCTGGATGAGTTCTTGGGGTTGTTTAAATTTCAGTCGGTGAGAATATTTCAAATATAATTTTTACAAATAATGTCTTCTCTACACTTGGCGCCCAATTTTTGCCGAAACGTTCTTCCTAATATTGGTGAATACTTGTATAAAACCTTCGAACTGCTGATGTTGAGTCCTCGGCCAACTATCCGTAGGCGAAATTCCGCTTTGGATTTTATGAAAGCGAGACTAGGCAACGTCCACTCGTCTTACCTGGATTCTAAGTATTTGTCCTGAATACAATTAGTGTTAGGTAAACTGTCTTCATTTGATTGGATGTAAATGTAGTCACTGAAGCAGCCCATGAGGACTAATGGCCATTACACGATTGATAGTGGGTTTACGTCAGTTGTTCACAATTACAAACATTTAAGATCCAATCTAGACCCAGACATGATGTCAAGGTAGTGGATGTATCATGTCAATTAACAGGTAAAAGCCTCGATCGTAACTTGATCAGATTGAGCATGTAGCAAATGGCAGCTTGCACTACTGTTGAATCATCATGTATACGCATAGTACGACGGTAACAGCAACCTGGTATAATGTGATATCATCTATATATGTCCTGAGTAATATAGCCTGTTTGGTTACAGCGACTGAATTAGACTCAACATCAGTTGTCCTTATTCAAACTAGCCCTACTCTTCCAACTCCCAGTTCTGCTCAGTTAGTCAGTTTGACCATTTCGACTACTACCAAATAATGAACAGAGGCTCGGCAGCAAAAAAAATCAAATTTTCGTGTGTGGCAACGCTGGTTGGGCATTTATGTACAAAGTTGGGTTACATTTTGTATTAGACTGATCTTGTTCGGTTTTAAGAATGTTGGGACTGCATCTCGCCCCATTAGGTTATAGTGTCGTTTCCAAATCAGTAGTAGCTCATATTACATTTTTAGTTTACTGGTTTAGTATATTCTAGATTTGGAAGGCGATCCAGATAGCCGCTAAACACTTAGAAATAACGCAAGAAGAGATATCGCAGTAGAATAACGGATTCTCCATCTAATTACAACCCGAAACCGAAGTATCACTCAGTCAGCTACAACCTAGGACCAGGCACATATATGCATGCATCAGTCCAAGTTGCCATACCTCATTAACACAATAAGATGGACACCGGATTCATAAAAGTAATTAATTCAGAGGTGGTAATATATAAAAGAAAGATTGCAATAAGGATATAGTACAGGAAGAAAGAATTAGTTCGTAGAAAGAGATATGAAGCGATTTTCATCTCTTAGTTTAAGGAAAGATAGTGTATGCATCGACGCCATTGTGATCGATTCTGAGCCATGTCATCAAGAGTCTCCAACCATTGGTTACGATAGTCACGCGGACCCCGATTAAGTAGTCTGCATCTCCCAACATGGCTCAGTCTAGAAGTTGGTGACTTCAAGCACTGATGCCACGTCTTGGTTTGGTCGCCCCTAACTTTCTTCCAACCATCTCCAACAGTGGTTAGCATTGCACATCGTTGTAATCGGTGTTCAGACATACGTAACATGTGGCCCAACCATCTCAGTCGATGGAGATTCACAACCTCATTGATCAGTGAGACGAAATAACTCTACATACTTGACGTCAGAAACATGAAATGAACTGAGTTAAAGTGTGGAAATAGAATAAAGCAGAGACGATAAAACAATAGCTAAAATTGTCCCGGCGTTCACTTATTTATTGGTCATTTGCTCGAAAGTTCAGATAATGAATTTATAGTATATAATATTTGCCAAAGCTGTTGCAACAAAGTGATTTAAGCCGAATTCACGTGTCCAAATGGGCAGTTATAAATCTTGTTTTACCTTGGTGACCTAATTTTTGTGAGATTATTACGCGAGGTTTTATTTTTCCGTGAACTGTAATCAAAACTCTAGTTTCTTCACACTTCTGAGCTTTACTCAACTAGTCTGTATTGCGTAGTTTACCTTCTGTTTCGAGAAGATAAATATTTTTGTTTACTTACTCTTCTAGAATATTCATGTATTTGACCTTTCAATGAGCAAATAATTTTATTCTGTATCATGGTCTCTTTGTTTTATTTTATCTCCACACTTTAACTCAGTTCATTCAATACGTTTCTGACGTCGTGTGTAAACTTGTCTTGTTTTACTGAATAATATACTTTGGATATAGGTTGCGATATTTGTTCTTTCTTTATTTCAGTTTATAAGCGGAAAAAGTTGTATAAACACTTTCATACATCGGCTAACCAAAATTACAGAGATGACGTTCATTAAGACTTTCTTTGATTTGAATGGTTTGGTAGAAATAATTCATCAGTTTAAAATACTAGTGATCCCAGTCTGTCGTAAATGAAATGAAAACGATGTGGTTGGTGAAACTAGGATGTGATTGGCCACTGATAGACAGGTACTGACTGATTAAAATGTGATCATATTGGTTTCTACTTTGGACTCACTACGCATAGAGTGGACTGTTTGTAATTGGGTCGAAAAAAATATAGTCTGCCCTATATCCTTATTGTTGGTTGTCTCTCTTTTAAAAACGTGATCCAGTCCTTATGTAACCTATCAATCAAGTATCCAGTTCAGTAGTGATATCATCTTTATCACTGGTCTTATTGTTGTATAGTAGTAGTATATTATGGCAGCAGAAAGTATTCTTATTCTATCGTTGTATCAGAAGCGCTAGCTAGTCCCATTATTACCTGGCTAACTGATAATAATGTTTTTTATACGATCATCATAAGATAAGCTTTGGTTGATAAACTATCAACATTTAATATACATCATAGTATTTTATTAAAATTATTTGAGCACCTATAGGATACTATCGATTATAAAGTAAATCCATTTACAAGATTGGATTGAACACTTTTAGTCAATTGAAATGTATTATTCATTAAAGATGAGAAGAATATCCAATACACTACCGTTACATCTAGCTTATGTAAATGATTTCAGTTTATCTTTTAATGTCTTTACTAACCTTTTCCATTGTGGATTATCTTATAATTAAAAAGAGAACCATTAACTGAATCTCATGTTATTTTTACTATACATCTTATTCTTTTAAATAATTCAGGCTGCCAAGTAAGCCAATGACAAATACTAAAATAGGACTGGGTGATTCTTTGTAATATTGAACAGAATTTACATTGTAAAAAGTAGATCTAACAAATACTATGTAAAATATAAATGTTAAATAAATAAATTTATCACTATGTATGATACACTAGAATGTTGTATAAAACATCGTACTGACACATTTCAAGAGTGATAAGTAAGGTGATTTGACACTATAGAAATCCTCCGGAATAATTCGACAGTTGACTACTTTGATATCATGCGGTAAGAAATAAACCAGATTAGCACTAATTTCTATTGGAGATTAAATTTGTCAGTAGTTTCTATATCATCCAATACTTTATTTGTTAAATAAATTATAATCATGTGTATTCTTATATTCAGATATCAGAAAGCGGTTGAAGGTTGTAGCGAGATATATTTGTTGACAATCTCGTGGTATCGAAATAATACCGAGATCGTGTTAAAGGAGTACAAGCGGAATCACTGAGTAAACGTAAGTCCGTACAAGGCCACAATCAACAGAAAGAAGGCATGTCTTTAGTAAAGTTAAACAAACAAGTACAGTAAAACAATCACTGGTACAATTGGTTATAATAATAATTGTTTCCATTAAACCAATCGCGTTCTCTTGATAAAAGTAAGTCACTACAAGGTCATCTAATTAACGTTGGATTTACTTCAAATTCTTTCGCTGAGATTTTACAAATACATTCTTCCTTTTTAATGTCTCACATCAACTCGGCGCCCAAATGCTGTGAAACCATTCGATCAAATTTAGACGAAAGTTCTTATATACCTAGTAACTGTTTTTGTTTTTAAGATAATCATATACGAAATTCAATTAGTTTTTAGTTGTTCGTGTTCTGCTACAACTTTTCGCTTCATATTATTATACAATCATATGTCTAATTTCTTCTATACAAACAACAAATCGATATAAGTATTTGCAAAACAACTAAATGTGTTGTGTATGACAAGATACTTTCTAAGGTAACCTGAAAAATTACTTTACGGTTGCGTTATTAGTAAATTTTTTATATCTTCTCACTAAGGGATCTTAATTACTAATTCTATCAGCCATAAAGAATAATACCGTTCAAAGTGAATACCAATGTTTTGATGGAGTTTTTTTCTCTGAGCTTGATGGTATGGTCGTGGAGCTTTCATCGTTCTTCTGAACGACATCATCAGCACAAACTTCAGATAGTGTGAAATTTCGTCTTATTTAAAAATATCAAATGTTCGTGATGTTAAATATAAAACTCAATAAACTCACACTAATAATGATCATGTACTGTATTAAGTCTACTAATTGAACTCTTGGCTCGATTTCCTACTTGTTTTTAGTAACTAAAGATTAAATCTACACGACAAC